GTCCTCACCCAGCTCACCTGGCCAGGGCACAGTCCCCAGTCCTCACCCAGCTCACTGGCCAGGGCACAGTCCCCTGTCCTCCCCCAGCTCACCTGGCCAGGGCACAGTCCCCAGCACTGGTTGCAAATGGCCCAGGGAGCCTGTGAGCCTGGCAGAACCCCTGAATCCATCCAGCACCCTGGAGCTGGCAGAACCCCTGAATCCATCCAGCACCCTGGAGCTGGCACTCATGCTCTGGTACTGCCTGGGGGTCCTTGTTTTGGGAGCTGGGAGCTCTGCTCCCCAAATACCCACATTTGAGAGAGAACCAGGAGCCAGAGAACAGAGAAAGGGGAGAAGAGCAGGCAGGAGCTGGCCCGCAGTGCAGGAGGCTGGGAGGTGGCAGCAGCAGCCCAGCCTCTCCAGGTCCCTTTGCTGTGAAATGTCACTGTGTCCCCTGCTCTGCCCTGCAGGTTCCTCCTCTTGGATGGGGTTTGGAGTGCCTCTGGCGATTGTCTCTGGCACTTTTCCTGCCCCACAGCTTGTCTTGGGGCTCCCAGGAGGGAGCCCAGCCTCAGGCAGGGGTACCTGTCAGGAGGACAGGGCAGACTGGGCTGTCACCCCTATTTGCACAGCTCCTGGAGGGATCACAGATCCCTCGTGAAGGAGTCCATCTGCAGTTTGTAGTCCAAGCTCACAATGTCGCTCCCCACTGCCCCAACACTGACTTGTGGACCAATGTTCATTAAATCCAGCTTTAACAGTCCTGTGAAACAAGGCTCTGCACATTCCTCTCAAACTGTTTCTCTGTTTGCTTTGTGCCATTCTCGTGCAGCTTGCTGAGCTAAAGAGACCCTCCCACAGCCAGGTTTCTCTTTTCCTTGTTGCCAACCATTCCAGTTGCMTCCATCTGTCTGACTCTCTCCCTCACCCTTATGCAGTGACTCCAGGGATGAAGATTTACATCGATCCCTTCACTTATGAAGATCCCAATGAGGCTGTCAGGGAATTTGCAAAAGAAATCGACATCTCTTGTGTCAAAATCGAGCAGGTGATTGGGGCAGGTAGGTGACCTGGGAATGGCTGGGGCAGCATCAGCTCCTTCGTGGTGCCAGGTTTCAGTGAACATTCAGCCTTGGGAGCACTGGTGTCACTAAGGTCTTACTCAGCCCAGTGCTGGAGAAGCAAAACCCTCAGTTCCTACGGGCAGATAATCCCCTGTGCAGTGCTCCTCATGGGTGAGAGCAGYTGGAGGGGTGGAGGAGGGAGGGAATATGYACTGGGGRTGGKTGCTYAGCTCAGGGATGGGCAGGGCTGRGCCAGGAGMTGYCTGAGGGGCACAGCAGAGCTGGGGGAGGCTGACAAACCCTGCCTTGTGTCCTCAGGGGAGTTTGGYGAGGTGTGCAGCGGGCATCTCAAGCTGCCTGGCAAAAGGGAGATCTTTGTGGCCATCAAGACGCTCAAGTCTGGCTACACGGAGAARCAGAGGAGGGATTTCCTGAGYGAGGCCAGCATCATGGGCCAGTTCGACCACCCCAACGTCATCCACCTGGAGGGGGTGGTCACCAAGAGCTCGCCAGTCATGATCATCACCGAGTTCATGGAGAATGGCTCACTGGACTCTTTCCTGCGGGTACGAGCTCTGGGAGCTGGGGCTGGCAGTCTGAGGCTGTGCTGGCACACATGGGGTTGGGGGGAAGGTTCCCCTTCCCAGTTCCCTTCCCTGTCAGCACCCCCTGACCCTGGGGCAGCTGCTGCATAGTCCAGGGGTCTGTGTTTTGGGAACAGAGGTGGATGTGGCACCAGGGCTGCCATCTCCTACCTGTCTGTCCACTCATCCCAGCAAGGGGCTGTGCCCACCTGCCCAYAGGTGCACATCCAGAGTGACCCATGGGCATGGAGGGACACAGYAGGACTGTCTRAWTATCCAGSTCCAGCTGCTCTGTCTAAAGAATTYCWGTTCTGGGTTTGAAGTGGGTAATTGATTCTGTTGAAGGGAAGTAACGTGGTCAGTAGGAATAGTTTGTSCCTTCTGAGGACAGGATGGGTGCACTCTGGGGTGACACTAGCTCCCAACTCCACTGAGCTCTGCCCTCCCCACCCTCCCTGGGAGGGAACATACTCATGGCATGTCCTGCCAAGGGTGTGGATGGAGGCTCCTGGCTGTGTGCCCGGCCAGGAGGGGCTGGGAACCTGCTCCTCTCACCTGTGTCCCCATGTCCACAGCAAAACGACGGGCAGTTCACGGTGATCCAGCTGGTGGGGATGCTGCGGGGCATCGCCGCGGGCATGAAGTACCTGGCRGACATGAACTACGTGCACCGGGACCTGGCTGCCAGGAACATCCTGGTCAACAGCAACCTGGTGTGCAAAGTGTCYGATTTCGGCCTCTCCCGCTTCCTGGAGGAYGACACCTCTGACCCCACCTACACCAGCGCCCTGGTAATGCTGCTCTGGCAGCCAGGGAGGGGCAGGGGGTGAAGGGAGGAGGGGGAAAGGAAAGGAAAGGGGGGCCCATAGGGAGGTCCCAGATGGGAAAGGACAGTGAAATGAACTGAAGATGTTCCCTTGCAATGTCCTGTGGGTGGTTGAGCCTCGCTCCAAACATGTTTGCCAACACACACAGGTCCCTGAAAAGCCCTTGGTTGGGATCGTGCATGCACCCTCCCAGTGGGATCCAGCTGAGATCCTTTCAGTGAGACGCTGCCTTGACAGATTTGCTGCCAGTGCAGCAAGTCTGGGTTTTGTACCATCACTGTCCAGTCGTGCTGCCCTGCTGTCCTTCCTCATGTCATCTCACTGGCTCAGCCCCAGGAAGGACAGAATGAAGTGTGGSAAGTGTGGGTGTGTGCCAGATACCAGATACTGATCTTCCAGAGATCATCCAAATTAAACAGAAACGYGCTCCTAAGGATGACTTCATGATCATGTAACAACTTCCCAGGAGCTCCTTGGTGCCAGACACACCAGTGCCACCAAGGACTTGTGGCTTGTAGAAGGCACACAGGACCAGAGGATTATTGGGTTTTGCTCAGTGAGATCTCAGCCAGGAGTTCTCATACAGACCACACAGCTTTGCTCTGCAATACTGCAAGAGGAGCAATGCCCACGACAGGAATTCTTGGAAATAACTGTTGATAGAGCTGGGGCAGGAAGGTAGAGCTGTAGGAAGTCACCTCTCCTGTGTCTTTTGAAGCTGGCAGTGATGAGATGTCTGGCATAGCTCTTAGTGGATTTTATCAGTAGCTGAATACCTAACAAACACCTAAAAATATGTGGGTTTATTCTCAACTGTAGCTTCAGACATTGACTCGTCCATCTTACACAGCCATCGATGGCTTTTACAAACATTAATAACATTTGTTTTTCACAATATGTTCCTTACAGCAAATTARCTTTCCCTTTGTTAACTAAATACATGGTGTTTACTGCTCTTCTCTATCCCTGGTTTTGTGCTTGTAGCTTTTCTCCCTAATAATAAATTTGTCATCCCTAATTTATTCTCTTTGAACTGTGGGCACTGTCACAAKATATTTATTATCCATAACGACAGATTATGTGCACCTGCTCTATCAGAAGTATTTCCTCTGCAAAATTGTTTTTATCATCATTGTCCCAGTGACTTTTTGTCCATGGATGGGCAGCAGCCACAAGCTCTGGCCTGGGAGCTTCCTGGTGGACCTTAGGAAAGCCTTTAGGATAATGAAGCTCCAGGTCACAGACAGGAGGTCTCACTGAAATGACTTCCCACAAGGATCCTCCAAAGTCTAGTTTCTACTTTAGGGCTTCTTTTTAGTMATTTTTAAAATGCACTCCTTGCCAGGAGCTCTGCCTGATGGAGAGGACATCCTGTTTGCTATGGGTTGCTTCGTCTTCCCCTCTTGTGGAAAATATAATATTTTGTCTGAGGTTTGTGGCTGTGAGAAGATTAAGGAACATTATCYTTTTTCATTATTCTGGCATGTACTGGGGCTGAGTGCTATGACGTCCTGGGAGACCCTTAATAAGACATGGCAGTTGTTCATTGACAAAATACAATATTCTTTAATCTTCTCACAGCCACAAAACACAGACACTTGTGCTTGTTTTTCAGCACAGGAGAAGATTTTCCCTTCAGAACATCCCTTGAGTGAATGGCTCAAGTCCAAAGCCCCTGCTAGAAAATCAGGAGGCAAGAAGGGCTTAAGCAGAGCCTCGCAATCCTTGCATCCCCAGTCTGTGCTTAACTCCTCAGTGGGAGTGAGAGTCCTGATTTCTCCAGAGCTGGGTGACAGAGACCTCAGTGCCACCCCAGTCCATCCCATTTCCCACCCTGAAGGTCAGAGCCTGCTGGATCAGGGTATATCCACAGGCAGAGGGTCAGCAGCACTCAGCTCAGGAATGTGCATTGCTGCCTTCAAGGAGTGGGAGCTGTAGGAGGCTGAAGAGGAAGGTATTCTAATTCTGTTCTAATTCCAATTACTCTGCTCTGGAGGCAGCCAGGTGACAGCTAAAGGATGGAGGGAGATCAGTTTGGATTTTTTTTTTACATTCCTGGCCATTTATTTTTCTACCCAAGAGCCTCCTGGCATGGTGGGCATTTTGCCATGGTGATGGTCACTGGAGCAGGAGGCACAGGGAGGGAGCTGGCATTGGTTAAGGTGATGAAGAGGAGGCTGAGGGGACACCTCTCAGTGACCTGCAGTTATGAAGAGACAGAGCCAAACTCTTGGCAGTGGCACCAGATGATAGAATGAGGGGTGATAGACAAAAACATGGCTTGGGGGTTCAGGGTGAACAACAGGGAGAGTTCTTTCCTCAKGAAGGTGGTGGGGAGAATCATCATCAGTGAAGGCTTCCAACAGGGCTGGACAATCCACATCCACCCTCAGGGACAGTCCTGTCCCTCCTTCCATCTGRGATTTTACCAGAATATCACAGGCAGATATTGTGATATTCTACTTTTATATATATATATATATTTTCCTGCTCTCCCCATTACCATGCCCTGTTTCCATCCTGCAGGGGGGGAAGATCCCCATCCGATGGACAGCACCCGAGGCCATCCAGTACCGAAAATTCACCTCWGCCAGCGACGTGTGGAGCTATGGGATTGTCATGTGGGAGGTGATGTCCTACGGAGAGCGGCCCTACTGGGACATGACCAACCAGGATGTGAGTTCAGACAGAAACCAGGGGCAGCAGAGCTGAAATGGGGACCATTGCCAGGCCAAAGCGTGGCCACAGCCTGTCCAGCACCTCTGTCAGGCAGATGTGGCAAAGCTCAGCACCTTTGGAAGCAGCAATGAAGATGATTTGGGGGTTTGGTGGCCTCACAGTGCTGCTGTGACAGAGATTGGGGATGCAGCACCCACTGCACGGGGTTAAGGGAGCACCCCAGGGGTGTTGGCAGGTGCCAAGGAGGGGAAGGAGCAGTGGGTAGGAAAGGAGATGTCCCTGTGCTGAGAGCTCGTGGGGCAGAGCTTCACCTGCAGGGATCACAGCCACTGAGCAAAGTCTGTTACAGAGCCACAGATCAGCCTGGGCTGGGGGAGATCTTTAAAGATGATCTCCTTCCAACCCCCTGCCRTGGCCARGGACATCTGCCACTAAATGGTCATTAAATGTCCCGTGGGAAGCTTGGACTGTGGTCTGTGAGAAGCCAAGTAGCTTAAACACAGCTGGAMACCAAACCCACAAGGTGCTTCAAACATGCTCCATTTTAAATATTTCATTGCTCAGCTCCAAATCAGGTCAAACAGTTACATGCTCCTCRCTCCTGGGGATCCAACAGCTTCCCTGCCTCCCTGCAAGGATGGCCTGGGGCTGCAGTCCCCACCCTCAGCACAGTAATGCCATTCCCATTGTCCCTGGCTCTTCTGGCATGGTTCCTGGGGCTCAAAGCCCTCCTGGCTGGTGGCAGTGAGGGTGCTGCACCTGCACATGTGTGTCCAGAAGGCCCTTCCTCACCTCGTGAGCCCTCAGGATGTAACACCAAGGTCCTGGGGGGGATCTTTGGTACGCAGAAAGCTCATCCTTCCCCTCTGCTGCCAGCCTGGGTCTCACAAACCTGCCTGTGACAGCATCTGCCTGGCTTCCAGCACGGCTCAGAGCCTCCTCTGGGCACTCCCTTGGGAGCTTTCAGACCTCCAGCTCCATCTCCACCATCCAAGCTCCCTCCTGACTCCTGTCCAACTCCAGTCCCTGTGGCAGATCAGACCTTTCCCATGTCAGTAGATCTCCATCCATGCCACAGCAGGTTCATCCAGGGTTGGACTATTTCCTCCYTGGTGCCTGGTGGGGAATTTATTAACGTGAGTCCCTAAGCCTGGAGCAGGTGGATGGTGACTTAGAGCCTCTGTCTGCCTCCCTCTGAGCACGAGCAATGTTTCCATCTTTGAGACAGAGGGATGGCACTTGGGGTCTGCCTTTCTCAGCAGGGACAATTCCCTTCCTGCAGAGCCTTTGTTGTCACCTGGGTTTCCAGCATGTCCTGCACCAGGTGTCCC